CACCACCACACTGACCACCACCACCACACTCACCACCACCGCACTCACCACCACCACCACCACCACCACACTCACCACCACCACCACCACACTCACCACCACCACCACACTCACCACCACCACCACACTGACCACCACCACACTCACCACCACCACCGCACTCACCACCACCACCACCGCACTAACCACCACCACACTCACCACCACCACCACAACCGCACTAACCACCACCACACTGACCACCACCACCACCACCGCACTGTACCCGTACCACACTCACCACCACACTGACCACCACCACCACACTCACCACCACCGCACTGTACCTGCACCACGCGCCGTGTTGTTGCCACCGGCCCCCCTCTTCCGCGTCCGCGTTCACTGTCCCCGGTCACGTGACGCGGGTACAGTTCCCGCCAAAATTCAAATGCGGCGCCCCTCGCTCCACTCGCTCCGCCCCCTCGCCCCGCCCCTCGCTCCACTCGCCCCGCCCCTCGCTCCACTCGCCCCGCCCCCTCGCTCCCCTCGCCCCGCCCCTCGCTCCACTCGCCCCGCCCCCTCGCTCCACTCACCCCGCCCCCTCGCTCCACTCGCCCCGCCCCCTCGCCCCGCCCCCTCGCTCCACTCGCCCCGCCCCCTCGCTCCACTCGCCCCGCCCCCTCGCTCCACTCGCCCCGCCCCTCGCTCCACTCGTCCCGCCCCTCGCTCCACTCGCCCCGCCCCTCGCTCCACTCGCCCCGCCCCTCGCTCCACTCGCCCCGCCCCCTCGCTCCACTCGCCCCGCCCCCTCGCTCCACTCGCCCCGCCCCCTCGCTCCACTCGCCCCGCCCCCTCGCTCCACTCGCCCCGCCCCTCGCTCCACTCGCCCCGCCCCCTCGCTCCACTCGCCCCGCCCCCTCGCTCCACTCGCAACCGCCCCCTCGCTCCACTCGCCCCGCCTCCTCGCTCCCCTCGCCCCGCCCCCTCGTTCCACTCGCCCCGCCCCCTCGTTCCACTCGCCCCGCCCCTCGCTCCACTCGCCCCGCCCCTCGCTCCACTCGCCCCGCCCCTCGCTCCACTCGCCCCGCCCCTCGCCCAGCCCCTCGCTCCACTCGCCCCGCCCCTCGCTCCTCTCGCCCCGCCCCTCGCTCCACTCGCCCCGCCCCTCGCTCCCCTCGCCCCGCCCCTCGCTCCCCTCGCCCCACTCGCCCCGCCCCTCGCTCCACTCGCCCCGCCCCTCGCCCCCTCGCCCCGCCCCTCGCCCCACTCGCCCCGCCCCTCGCTCCACTCGCCCCGCCCCCTCGCCCCGCCCCCTCGCTCCACTCGCCCCACTCACTCGGGGTCACGGGAGTCGCTCTCCCCGCTGTTTAATTGGAGCTCCACACGCGGACCCCGACCGCGCGAGGCTGAGTGTGTCACTAGCCCCCCTCGGGAGAGGGCACCACCACCACACACCTGCCCCTCCTCATACCAAATAGCGACATTTTAGACGCGTCCCGTCAGCCTCCTGCGAGTGCATCGCTTCATCTTCTTGGTTCTTTCGGTAAAGTCACGTAGAAGGGAAGTAAGAAAATAATAAAAATAAAACATAAAATAATTCTCACGACGTTTCGGCTACAACGCAAGCAGCCGTCTTCAGGTTGTTGTAGCCGAAACGTCGTGAGAATTATTTTATTATGTTTTATTTTTATTATTTTATTACTTCCCTCCTAGGTGACTTTACCGAAAGAACCAAGAAGATGAATCCCTGCAGTCACGAAAGCTTTAAATCGAAATTTGCATCGCTTCAGTCAAACTTCGGACCACTTTCGACATTGAGCCTCTCAGCAGCAGATTTGTGCTCCCCTTGAACCATTCCCGGCCAACTTCCCACATGTTTATGGACGAGGACCCTCAGACATGGGTCTGGCACGACACAGAACCATGATACACCCACACTCCCCCCACGCTCATGACGGGTGAGTGTGTGGGGTGTGTAGGGCGAGATGCAGGGGGGGGTGTGGGGTCGACTCAGGGTCGACTTGAGTCAAGAGTCGCCGCTGACTCCTCGAGTCTCTGAGACCAGCGCCATCGTCCTGTGAGGTACCGCCTCGGTCCATCAGTCACCCCTCAGACCACCTCAATCCACCCTCAGTCCACCTCCATCCACCCTCAGTCCATCTCAAACCACCCTCAGTCCACCAACATCCACCCTCAGTCCATCTCAAACCACCCTCAGTCCACCTCCATCCACCCTCAGTCCACCTCAATCCACCCTCAGTCAATCTCGGTCACCCCTCAGACCATCTCTCAGCCCACCTCAATCTACCCTTCAGTCCAGCTAATCATCTCTCAGTCACCCCTTAGTCCACCCTCAGTCCACCTTAGTCACCCCTCAGTCCACCCTCAGTGACCCCGAAGCACTTCACAATTTTACCTATTATTATTTTTACCATGCTCCAGTATATCGATATTATTACATACATTGAAATAGCCAGTAACCGATCCTGAGCCAAAAACCGATGTTTGGAAGCGGTTACCGATCTCGATTTGAAGTTTCTGTGACTGCAGAGATCCATACTCTTTGATTCTTTCGGTAAAGTCACGTGGGTAGAAAATATTTTGTTTAATATAAAAAAAATTTCATAATAAAACAAATGTATTTTATTTTATTTTCTACCTACACATTTATTTTGTTTAATTTTGTTTTATTTTCTACCTACAAATTTATTTTGTTTAATTTTCTACCTACAAATGTATTTTTTTTATTTTCTACCCACAAATTTATTTTATTTTATTTTCTACCTACGTGACTTTACCGAAAGAACCAAAGAGTAAGCCGTTACCGGTTTCACAAACCCCCCCACCCCTCGACCCCTCCTCAGTCGAACTCGGTCTCGATGTCATCCTCCATGAGTCGCTCCCTCTCGGCGGGGCCCTCCTCCTCGTCCGAGCCCCCCCCTCCCCCCATGCTGGCGAGACGCCACAACGTGAAGGCAGCGAGGCCTCCCAGGGCCAGGCCCCCCGCGGCCACCGAGACCGGGAGGCCCAAGGCCCGGGGCCCGTCCAGGAGGAGCAGCGAGCAGACGGCCCCCAGCCACGCGGCCAACATCAGGGGCACTGCAGCAGCAGCAGCAGCAAGAGAAACAACCCATCCATCAGATTCACCATGGAAGTGGAGAAAGATGGCAAACTACCGTTCTTAGATATTCTGTTTGAGAGGAGACCTGATGGATCCTTGGGACATTCTGTCTACAGGAAAGCCACCCACACAGATTCCTACTTGAAACCTGATTCCCACCACCACCCGTCTCAAAAGAATTCTCTCATCAAAACACTATACCACAGAGCTCATGGCATTTCTGACCAATACCACCTGGCCGGTGAATAAAGACATGTACATCGGGCCCTCAAGATGAACGGATACTCTGACCGCACCATCCGCCAAGCTGTTTCTCCCACCATACAGAACAGCCACTTGAAACTCCTATCAAAACTATCACGTTGCCATACATAGCAGGCGTGACCAAAAAGATCTCCAAAATTCTAAACAAACATAAGATCCAAGTCCGATTCAGTACAGTACATAAAATCCGTGATCTAATTCCATCTGATAATTGGTTCTTTACCCTTCTATCTGGCAACAAAACTGACACCTTTTTGCTCTGCAAACCTTCTGGCTACTAACAGTTTTGTTGCCAGATAGAAGGGTAAAGAACCAATTATCATATTTTTACTGGCAAATGAGGTCCCCATAGTCTAATTCCATCTGTGAAGGATGTCATTCCTGACTTGCAATACCCTGGAGTCTATAAACTGAGTTGCAGCTGTGGTGACTGTTACATTGGGGAAACGAAACGTCATATCTCTGATCGTGTCCGCGAGCACAAGTCAGATCTGAAACACGGCAAAATTGAGTCTTCCGCCGTTGCCGATCATTGCTACAACGCGGGGGGTTCTCATGAAATTGTCTTTTCCGAGACCAAGGTGCTCTGCAAACCTTCTGGCTACTATCAAATGTTTGTGCACGAAGCCATCCAGATATACAAACACAGACATAACTTCAACTGTGATGATGGGTACAAACTGAGTAATCATTGGAAAGATGTCATTAACCACGCAAAAAAGAGTTAACTACACATATTAGTAGGTTTTTACCCTTTAAACTGGTACAAAAACTGACACCTTTATACAAGGCATCATGTTTGCAATAACCACAACACAAGCAGTCAGAATGCAAACAAAAACAAACAACTCTGATAATGATTATGATATGCACTGTCCTTGAAGTGCATATCACTGTCCTTGAAGTGCATATCATTATCATTATCAGAGTTGTTTCTTTTTGTTTGCATTTTGACTGCTTGTGTTGTGGTTATTGCAAACATGATGCCTTGTATAAAGGTGTCAGTTTTTGTACCAGTTTAACGGGTAAAAACCTACAACTATATTTTGCCACTGGTAAAGGAGGTCTCATAGTGTAAATGCTTAACTACACATATTTGTATCATCTTATCTGACCGGTACTATTCTACTTTACCGAGTGTTGACATCCCCAGCGTTTACCAGTATGGCTTACTTTTATGCTTATTGATAATTGTTTTTTTATCCTTCTATCTGGCAACAAAACTGACACCTTTTCACAAGGAGTCATGTTTGCATAGACCACAATACCTGCAGTCATAATGCAAAAAAAAACATAACTCTGATAATGTGCACTGTCCTTGCAGTTGATTGGTCCACACCCGAGACAGCTTTCCTTAGAGCCTAGTCTCACATGGGTTGGACCAGATGACGCCAAAAGGCGCAACCCATGTGAGACTAGGCTCTAAGGAAAGCTGTCTCGGGTGTGGACCAATCAACTTCAAGGACAGTGCACATTATCAGAGTTATGTTTTTTTTTGCATTATGACTGCAAGGTATTGTGGTCTATGCAAACATGACTCCTTGTAAAAAGGTGTCAGTTTTGTTGCCAGAGAGAAGGGTAAAAAAACAATTATATTTTTATTGGCAAATGAGGTTCCAAAGGTTTATGCTTATTGTCAGCTAACACCGGCCACAACCATGAGTCGATGTGCACCATTGTTCTCTTCTAGCCCCGCTCCCCAGGACCATCAGGCCATACCCCTGGCTACCACATTCAGACAAGCCCCTCCCCCCCTCCCCTCCCCCCCTTAACTTGTATTTAAGGGCTTGCCTCTCGGATTTTTTCCTCACTTAATACAGTAAATTCAGCTGTGACGGTCCCACCTGATGACGGAGACTTGTGTTGCCTCCGAAACGTCGTGATTTATTATTTTATTTGTATTATTACTTATCTCATTTATTATTTATTTATATATTTTTTTACCTACGTGACTTTACCGACAAAACCTAAGAGTATGAATCATTGCAGTCGCGGAAGCTTCAAATCTAGAAACAATGGGGCCGTCCATAAATGACGTCACGCACCTAGGGGGGGGGGGGTCAGACATTTGTGACGATGTGTGACGAGGGAGGGGGATTTGAGAAATGTGACGTCTAGTAAAAATGCGCAACTTTAAATAAATATAGACAACACGTTCTACTTAATTGAGTGAGTGTGTGAGTGAATGGGTGAGTTGGTGAATGAATGAGTGAGTGTTTGAGCTTGCAACTGAATGAGTGAGTGAATGGGTGAGTGTGTGAGTGAATGGGTGAGTTGGTGAATGAATGAGTGAGTGTGTGAGTGAATGGGTGAGTGTGTGAGTGAATGGGTGAGTTGGTGAATGAATGAGTGAGTGTTTGAGCTTGTAACTGAATGAGTGTGTGAGTGAGTGAATGGGTGAATTGGTGAATGAATGAGTGAGTGTTTGAGCTAGCAACTGAATGAGTGAGTGTGTGAGTGAATGGGTGAGTGTGTGAGTGAATGGGTGAGTTGGTGAATGAGTGAGTGTGTGAATGGGTGAGTTGGTGAATGAATGAGTGAGTGTGTGAGTCGGTGAGTTGGTGAGTGAATGTGTGAGTGAGTCGG